CCTGTTTCATGACTCCTGCTGAGCTGGGATCCAAGATCTTAAGATTGTAGCTTGTCCCTCATTCCCATGAGTTAAACAGTCAACACCCTCTGGGAATAAGCTGCACTTTTCATCATTTGGGTAGGAATTCTAGAGCATGGAAATGCCCTAATTTGCTATTGCTGCCTCAGCATAATGAGTCAGATTTAGGTCCTAAGGGAGGATAACAACACTTAGCACTTACACATCGCACTTTTCATCTTCAGGGTCCTTAACCACATTAGGCTGTGATGTTATATTTCGCTCAGCAAGACAAAGGACTTCATTTCTAGGCCTTTCAACTTTCCTTCCTGTCCTACACATACACACATATACATGCACACAACTGTTATCATATGATGACACTATCTCCCACTTCCAAGATGTGCACTGTTGGATATTTTTTTTTCAAAAAATGATATCAAATATGAAAGGTCAATTCACCCTCTTCTTTTTTTTAAAAAATCTTTTTGGCTTTTGTTTTTTCCTCTAACGTGGAACACAAAATCAGTATGCTGATCACCAGTTATTGGAGTCCATTCAGCATTACTGCTAGGGTTCCCATACTTGACTTGATTCTTCATGCCTCATGGTCTTCTGTGTCATCTCTGGCCACTGTGAAGAGTTGAAGAGCCTGCCTTGGACAATCTGGAGGGACTCTGCCAAGTTCCCTGCTCAGACCTCTTCTCTACCTCATCGCCATTCACTCCTGGCCCGGGTGATTCCATCAAGCACAGTATTTAAACAGCACCTGTACGCCAGTGACTCCCCAATTCACATCTCTGGATGGGTCCTGAATTAAAGACCTATATATCCATCTGCCAGTTCAGTATCTCCACTAAACAAGTCTGCAAATAATCTCAATTTCCCCCTCAAACCTGCTCCTTCTATAGGCAACTCCATCCTTCTAGTTGCTTAGGCCAAAGACCTAGACTCATCCTTAATTCCACTCTTTCTATCACTCCCCAGATCCATCCATCAACAATTTCTGTTAGCTTTATCTTCAAATTAGATCCAGAATCTAACTACCCCTTCTAGCTGTACCTTGGACCAATCTGCCATCATCTTCAATCTAGATTCTTTAAATACCCTCCTACCTGGTCTCTCTTTGTTATTTACCTCCAACAGTTTACTTTCAACTCGACAGCCAAAGTGATCTTCTAATATATAAGTCAGATCCTATCACATCTCTGCTTACAACTGTCCAATGGTTCCCCATCTCACTCAGAGTAAAAGCCAAAGTCTGCAAGGTCTTCCTGGATGTGACCTCCCATGCCCACTCTTTAGCGTCACTACATATGCTCCCCTTGCAGCTCCTCCAGCCCACAGAGCACCCTCCAGTCTCAGGGCTTTGCACTACTGCTCTCTCCACTCTTATGCCCAGTACGCACCAGGTTCGAGCTTTCTCCTTATCCAGGTCTCTGCTGCATGCCTGCATACCAGTGATGCCCTCCGACCATCCCCAGCACTCCCTGTGCCCCTTCCCTGCTGTATTCTTCTCTATAGCTCTTATCACCTTCTGACATGTTATACATCCTATTGCTTTTATTTGCTTCCTGTTTGTCTTGCCCTTGTTTGCAAGCTACCCGAAGGCAGAGTTTTGTTTTTGATTTATTAATCAACATTAGTCCATGGTACATTCACCAATGCCTTGGACAGTGCCTGGTACGTGGTGGGCCCTCAAAAATATTTTTTGTGTGAATAAATGATAAACAAGAACTTCTCATCTATTTCACCACATGTGCTGGCCTGACTTCTAAGCCACAGGCAAGATGAAATTTGTGATGTTGCCAGTGAGGGATGCCTTTCCTGGGGGTGGGGGGAGCTGGAAAGCTTTTTAAAGAGTTTTGAATCTATGAGTTCATGCTGAAGTGGAAGACTGAGGCAATTATGGAATGTGTTGTTTGATATATATGCTGTGGATACAGACATTGGGGCTTTTTCTGTTGGTCATGACCTACCTCTAGCCTGTCCTCATTCTATTGGGATGCTTTTGGGAAAGGGTGTCAGGATTAGAGACAGTCTGTAGAATTTTCCCCAACAGACAGCCACATGGCCTAACCAAGGATCAATTCTCTATTTGCTCTTTAATAGGATTTTCTATGCCAACCTTCAGCAAGAAATTTAAAAGTGGAGGGAAGGGCCAGACTAGTCTTTCTAATATTTTTGTATAAAGTATATAGAAAGTTCAGTTAAGAACCTTTTTATACCAAATTCTCCAGTTAAACTAATCCATCTCCCGCTTTACTAAAACGTGCTGAGAGAACTAACACAAGACTTTTGCTAAAAAAACTCAGAGGAAAAGAAATTAGAAGAGAGTTGGAGCATAGAATTAAAAAGAAATAGTTACCTGATTGTGCAGCAACAAGGGAAGAAGAAGAAGACAGAAATCAATGGAGACCAGGTATGCACTGAATAAAGAATTTGTATTCCTACTTTTCAAGTGGGGACAAAGAAATGAAGCAGGAGCTGCGGGTGGCAGTGTGCCAGGGATGTTGGGAGCTGGAGAAATGTGATCAAATGGATTGAGTAGAAGTGCTGGCAGATTGGAAAACATCTCCTCTCCTTAACTCCCACCTCCCCACCTCCCCACCTCCCCACCTCGGGGCTTCCAAAGAAATGCTAGGGCAGAAGCCACCAACATAGCCCATTTGGCCGCTGGATAAGTCACCATGTGTTAGGCCTCAAGAAGGTGCCCTCTTGGGTAGCCGTGGCCACCGAGCTGGATTTGGGCCTCTGGTGTGAAAGAGGCAATGGAAGAGGATACACCTCAACAGTCTGAACAGTATCCAGCTTCTCGTGCGTGCAAGTGAAGTTGGGGTGTAAGACAGTGGTCTCTGGAGGGGCCTGCCCCTAAACCATGAGGGAAGCTAGCTGTAGGATCCCACACCCACGTACCCATCATAAAATCATCACATGACTAAGAGCAACACTTGAAAGAGAAAAAAATGCCTTATTTCTACAATCGTCCTCCTCCACTTGGCTTGCCTAATTATTTTCATTTTTTACGTTTAATTATTTATACTCTTCTCAACTCAAAAGGAATCAAAAGCAACTCAAAACATGCGCAGCATGAAATTTTTTTTTTAATTAAAAATTGGGACCAGAGGAAATATAAACTAGAACTGAAAGTCTAGTCAGTGGGGGAAGTAAAATGCTCATTACAGAGTTCTAAAAAGTTCTCAACATTAAGCAGTCAACTTGGTTTCATGTGAACCAAGCAGTCAAAGCGAAAAGAGAAACAGAACCGGTTACAGGATTCTCATATCCACGAGGAGAAAATATTTCAGTTCCTCAGGGGAAGCAAACTATTTCCTGGAATTCAGATCTGCAAGAATTCCCCCCCGTGGGGCTGCATAGACGAGATCATGAGTGCTCTGTAAAGGAGAAGATCTAAAACCACACCCCGACCGTGGGCTTCCTAAAGCTGTTCTTGGTAAATGCCTTCAGGAAAATCAAGGGCATACACTTCGGTTAAAATCATCCTATCAGAAATGAAGACAATATGGACCAGGTACAGACCTTTCTTATAGTTCAGTTTAATCTATGAAGCCAACCTTGACTATCTGGAGGAATGAATGAACTTAACCCCTCAGTTGTCTACACATGCTGCATCAGGAGAAAACTTACTGCTCAACCAGAGGAAATTTACTAGACTTTTTGGTTCCTCTCTCCCTTGCTATTTCCATGGCTTTTTTTTTTTCAATCTATTTCTACTGCCATGAAATATAGAATGTACACCTTCTGTTTTTATTTAGTTAAAAATTTTAAGTGCTCAGAACAGTGTCTGGCAAATAAGTGCTAAATAAATGTTTGTTTTAAAAAAGAAAAAAGGCCCTTCGTATCATTGGGGGATGGAGTCAGGGGATGGGCATCATGTATGAATGACCAATTATAAATAAAAAATGTTGACTGAGATTTTATACTCCTCTTGTAACTTTCCCCCACTTTCAGGATTTTTCCTAAAGCAGTACAGACGGAATACAAACCCTTGGCTATTTTGATGTGAGGATGTGACAAGAAAAATCTGGGGAAAGGGGATTATTATAATTTCACATAGAGTAGGATTCAAAGGTTTTGAAACACTTCAGAGAAATAGCGGAGCCTTTTAAAATTCTTCTCCGGATGGAACAGCTGGAACTTTAGAATCCATTACAACGGAGCTGGTGGTGCTTCCTTTAACTTTCCTGGTTTAAGTCTCTAGCCATGGAATGTATCTAATGTGTTGTTTAGTACATTGTGGGCATTCAGTAATGGTCTATCAAAACAATAAAAAAATACTAAAAAATGTCATGATCATATTTACTTGTGACCCTGTTTCCTTTCCTTAATCTGGTAAAGTGATTTTTAAATGCCAGCACAACATTACAATAAGAACTGACTATATTCTGGAGACATCCATAAAGTGGGTTTTCTACATTAATAAGAACAAATAATCCATACTTAAAGTGAACCTATTTGTTTCATCAACAACAGATGTTCAATAATATGACGAGGAAGGAATTATAAATTTGGTGGAAACATACTGGGAAGATTAAGGAAATCAGACAGTTACAACCTGGGACCAAATCAGATGAAATCCTCTCTCCTACTGTTACGACTGTCCACTTGTCATCTTAGCCCTTTTGACCCTTGTCTTCTGCCCTCACCACCCACGTAAGGCTTTGCTATTCAATATTTAGCAAAGTAAAACAACTAGTTTTGAATAGAAAAATTCTCAGTTTATCTGACTCAGGTTCAAGAATCAAGTAACCTTTTTTTGGCTTGAATTTCATATTTCAGATCTCTGTTTTTCCCATGATTTTTCTAGCTTTGGATTCTACCACAATCAGGGATTCATAGATGTTTTGAAAACCATCACACACTTGTAAATGGATAAAATGCTGTGTTAGGACCACACTGGCACAATCTGCGGTGCCACCTAATTCCCACGCAGGTGTTAGAGGAGGCACCTGTCCAGGCGTCCGTCTGAGTGAACCTACCCGCTTGCTGCTCTCCTCCTCCTGAGCCTTCCTGAACTCATGCTCGAGGGAGCAGTCCAGCTCATTGAAGAGCCCCACTTCCTCGCAGTTCTTCAGGAATCTTGTTGGGGTCGGAGTCTGATCTGAAAACAGAGACCAAGTGATCATACATGGGATCTTTTCCTCCAAAGCCTGTGGCAAGCACGAGCTAAATTCACAAATTCCTTCCCCTCACCTTAATTACGATGCCAACTGGCCATTCATAATCTTCCAGCCCTTTCAATAAAATGATAACATGGAAGAAAATAAAACCCTAACCCCTGAAGGAGGAATAACGATGTTTAGAAAGCATATGTGAGGGCTTCCCAAACCTCCTTCAGGACAACTTCAGGAGAGGAAATCCCACCGTCAACTTTCTGGGGTCCATATTATTTGAATACACATTGCAACATGTGGAATAGCTTTTTTAACTAGAAAAAAATGATTTAGCTAAAAGAAAGTTAAAAAAAAGTCAATGTTAAGCCTGATTTTAGAGGACTGGGAGGGCTGGGAGGAAAAAAGGTTTTGCAAATTTGTGTATCAAACAGAAAAGGAAAAACAAGCATTTGATTTGTTTTTCTTAATGGAGAATAAAAATTGAACAAGTCTTTCATTTTGAGAGTCACAGAAGGATGATGAGAGGTTCCAAGTCAAACACATTCAGCTTCCATCCCTTAAATATATAATTATTAATTTAATTTTCCTTTGCTATAGCCAAAAGAATGTTCTGAGAATACTCTTTAAAAGGAATAGAATTTCTTTCATATTCTTGACGATCTGGAGAGCTTACTACTTAGAAAACTGGAGGATCTGAAGCCACTATTTGTGGCTTAATATTTATGCAGCATTTGCAGTTTATAAAATACTTTCATACACATTTTCCAGAATCTAGTTCTCACAAGATCCTATATGGTAAGCAGGGTAGAATTACATCTTCGTCATTAGTAAAGACAGTCATCTTCCCTGGTAAAGGTGTACTTAAGTGGACATGAATAAAAGTGGGTAAACCGCCCTTTTCTCAGAAACAGATTAATTTAAAAAACAAACAAAAACGGAGAGGACCACTTCCCAGTAAGGAAGTCTGGCCATGCTAATTATTTTGCAAGTAAAGAAAACTGAAGCTCTGAGTGATGATGGGTCTTGTTCAAGGTCTCCCAGGTACATGTGGCAACACCAGGATTAGAGCCAAAGGCTCGATGCTATTTCCACGGTGGACGTGCATTATTGCCACTGGAGCCTGCGGCACACACTGCTAGATGGATGACGGCCCTTGTCCAGAGTGACCTACACTCTGTCTGAAATCTCTGCACAGTCCTCTAAGCCATCACCACCAATCAACTGCAGAGGGCCCTCAGGTTGAAATGAATTTGCTGTTTCAGCACTCTCTTTATAAATGCCTATATGACAAGAAACTAGAATCCTATTTATTTTTCTAAGTCATAAGGAGAGTAGTTAATCCCAGTAAATTATCCATTGAGATTCAAAGACTATTTTAATATCCATGAAGCTGAAAATGACTTACTGTCCCCATTTAATCAGCCCTTCCAAGGCGATGCCTCTTGATACCCTATGGGTGCAGGGCTTTCCTACCTGTTACGCACCCAAATGGTTGATTTGGAGTCTAATGCCACAAAACACCGATCAGCATTCTTCCCTATTCCTAGCCTGATCTCCAAGATACTGAGCTCTCTTTGCAGTACGAAGAGAGCCTACCACAGATGATCATAAAGTGGACATCACAGATAAAAGATATGCAAAGAATTGGGTTTTACTGAAAGTGGTTTTATTAGAACATTAATTAATTTACTGAGATCTACATATATGCCTATGTATCCAATATATACCTATAACAGTTAAAAATACCACACAGTGTTGTTTGGTATAAAATATAAAATTAGTATTTATGCAGCATTTTGCAGTTTACAATTTACAAACATTTTCACCCACATCGTCTAGAATAGGATCTCACAAGTGGAGAAATAAGTTCAGTACTTTGCACAAGGTCATACAATTTGTAACCATCTTATCACTTAAGTCCTCTCTTACCTTCAGAAATAATCCCTTCTCAATCTAAATCCCATGTCTCTGGGGTACGCGTAAAAGATGACATTGGCAACCCAGAAATCTAGATTTGAAAATTGTGTGATTTGGGAGAAATTACCTACATTCTCTGGACTGCATGTTCATTATCTTTCAAATAAAGTTCTACAGTTACATGATTCTGTGAATCCTAAAATCACCATCATAACAAAGTTCACTTCAAAAGTCACTGTTAATAGGTCAAAGAAACATATGACCACATAAAGGACAGTTGAATGGGAGCACCAGTAACAGCTGGTTAGACACCAGAAAGTAAGCCAGAGGTAATAGCCAGATATATAGATAAAGGAGTTTTATGAACAGAAGGTATAAATAGACCAGACCTGAGAGTGGAAATAAAAGGGGTGTGTGTGTGTGTGCACCCATGAGTGCACCTGTGTATACATTCTTCCATTTGTTGGGTGCTTATTCCATGCCAGGCGTGGTGCTAAGTGCCTTGTATGCATCACCTCTTTAATTTTCACACAAACCACATTAGGTAAAAATTATTTTCTCCATTTTACTTATGAGGAAACTAAAACTCGCCTTGGACCACCATTTAGAAATTGAGTCACATAATTTTATTAGTAATTGACAATCCTAACATTCTTCAATTCTTCTGAAATATCTTGGAATCATTTATATCCCTCACACAACAGAACTACTATTACAATCTTACAGACTCTTCACTACATTGCAGGAACATTTCTGCGACTAAAAAAACCCTGAGAACACACCATATAACAGAACTGAAATATTAGACCACTTGTCATCAATGGGAACTTGGTTTGCCAGGTTTTAATTTTCCTTTTATTCCTTTATGCTTCTTTGTTGGAGATTTACAAGTTGAGAGCCTTGGTTCCGGATAGAGAGAACGGTAATCCTAGAGGCTCCGTAAGACTCCTGAACTTTGAGACAAGTTCATGAGATGGTCCATGAAATTGAATTCAGGTTGGCATTTGGGGGCCCAAGCCCCAAGCAAAGTTGAGAGATGGTTTCTGTCTCCTCTAAAGCAAAATCATTCCCAGATACCAGCATTCGCCCCCGTCCATCAGCAAGGAGGCTGGAGGAGCATGGCACGAGGAGAGTCGCGGCACCAACCAGCATGATGAGCCTCTCTGAGCACTAGGGAAACAGAGCTACGGAACAAGGGGAGCCATGGGCAGTAAAGACAGCTAGTTCCCTCCCGTCCCCAGAGCAGAAGACCCAGAAGAAGGGTCCCAGAGTTGTTACTAAATGTGACTTTCTTTTCTGCATGATAGAGTGAGGGGAAAGCAAACAGTTATCTATATCCACATTTGGAATATATAAGGCATGCTGTTCCTAATATTTAATTCATTTTCATCTTGTGAATGAGCTATTCTTTCCAGTTACAACAGGAACCAGAAAATGGGGCTTAACTTTTGTTTTAACATTTATTAGAATTAATACAGGGTCTCTAGTCATCTTTGATCCCACATGGTACCAGTTCCCAATAAGCCAGGAAATGTGCAAATCTTCAAAAGGGGGACAGCTAAATCTATCCGCAGCTTAAATAAAAAGAGGCAGGGTTTCTCGGGCACATGAATGCCTTGTCAAATAACTGTTTCAGCTGAAATTAGAGCTGAAGTAAGTGGGTGATATCCCTGGCCATAAATTAAAATTCTTGTAAACTACACTTTACTTAGAACAAGAGCATGCTTCGGTTAGCTATGGCAGCAGCAATTTCTAAGTCCTGAATAATAGTGGCCGATGCTCTGCTCGTGGATAATATCTAAGGTGTGTTCAGTAGTGACAGGCCACACTCCAGGGACTTACAGGAACTGATTCCAATGGGAACTCAGAGCTGAGATGATGATTTAAGGACTTCTGCTCCCCTTTCTATCAGTGCTTCCACTCCAGTGAGGGTCATCTGAATGAGAGAAGGAGATAACCTCAACTCTCAAATTAAACTAAAAGTTGATAGCTTTCTGCTGCAACATATTTTGTTGTTATTATTTTCATAAATCAGCTGCAGAAACACCTGCACATTACGTTCTCACAGAGAGTCTGCAAAGAGCACACCAGGTTCCCAGGAGATGCAGACACCTGGGGCCAGTGTAAGTAAGCAGTCTTACCCCCTCTCCTACTCCTGTCTCATGTCTTGGGGATGTCTTTAGCAATCAGTCGAGAAAGATTTGCACCAAAAGGGATAAAATATCCTTTGTAAAGTTTGTCATATTTCAATATCTGGTTCACTTCCTGGAGTGGTGAGTCTGTTTCTTGAAAACAGGAGCACCTTTTCATAGAATCATTGCCTCTGTAAATAGCTATGTAGAGGACATTTGTGGTGCAGAGGCCCTACTTGTGCATCTGTCCGGAGGAGGGCCACAAACTCGGCATTCTCAGTTAGGATTTCACCCATCACTTATAGGACAGGAAATCCTGCATCACATTACATCTGGGAAGGACCACAAGTACATGGCTAGAACTATTAGGGAAAAAAAGCAACTCACTAAGTTTTCCAATCCATCCATCGTCTGCCTAACATCAAGTGCTTCAGCTCCAGCAAGTACGGTTTTCCAAAGCCTAACTGACAAGCACAAAGCTAAAGCATGAAACCTGACTCTTCTTTTAAAAAGTGTTTAGTCTGCTCTACATTTAATAGTAGGTTGCTACCTTATTCGGTTTCAGAGCTGCGTTTGAGTTATATGTTTGTCTATGTTTCATTTTCCTCAATGATAAAAAAGGCAAGGTGACAAGTCATCAACTGAAAAAAAAAGGGGGGAAAGCAGAGTTTCCTTCATACACAAGAGGAGAAATCTGTAAATCCCCTAAGCAAAAAGTTTGTTTCCTACTGGTCTGCTATTCTCAACTATGGTATTACTAAAGGACTATATGAAGTAATTTTACATCACTTTATATTAAATTGGTGGTTAGTAATACCATAAAAGCTTCACTAACTCAGACCAGTTATAAGAAAAATCAGTTTGAATTAGTGATTATTCTAACTATAGGGTATTTTTTTTAAAGGCAATGCATTTTTATTATTTGTGTGACTCAGTTT